ATTCCACCTGACTCACTGCATACAAGCAACATTGGATGTTACCACTGTCATAAGTGATTGAACTAGTCTTACTTGAAGCAATGGTTTGCAGAGTGTCTTTACATTGCTGTGGTTTTTTCACCAAAATTCTAAGGGCTTTTCTTTGATACTATCTTTTTTTCAACCTGTGTGCACTCATGCTTCCCAGATATTCTACCGTCCTCTCTTAGTTTTTATGACCATGTGAACACTGGCATCTGTTTAATGGCAGTCCTGGGTGTCCTTCAAGCTAGCACAGCACTGTTGAGCAAAACTTTGCCAGCATTCCACCTCCTTTCCAGAATCAGCATTCATCCAGTGATGGCTGCCTTCTAACATCCAGTTCCTCTGTTCCCCCAAATCCTTTAGGCTGAGTACCATGGCTTGATATTGACAAATGCCTTTCCTCACTCTAGTGCAAGCTACTGCCATCTCTTGCCAGTCAAAGCTTTTTAAGTGGCCTCCTGGCCACCCACCATGCTACCCTCTCATCCACTGCCTACACTGCAGCCATTGTGAACTTTCTGAAGTGAATATCTGATGAAGTTGCTCATTTGCTTAAAATCCTAATGGCTTCCTATTGCTGTTATAATCAAGTCCAGGTTCCTAATATGCATAACAAAGCCCTTTATAGTATGGAGTCTGCCCATCTTCCTCTCTCCTCTCTAAGTACCAGTCACACAAAATTCTTTCTGTTCCTGTAATGGTCCATGCTCTATCTTACTTCCTGGCCCTCCTGTATCCTATTCCTCCTGCCAGGAACACTTTTTTCCCCTTCCTGCACATTTACATGCCAAGAAATGATTATCCTGAACTGGAAGAACAGACTTGCATCAATAATGATCATTATTCCATATCACATGTGTTCAGTCCTCTGTATTGTCAGGAGCTTTAACTATACCCCATAACTACAATGATCATATTTTGCAAACTAAAGTTCTGAAGAATAGGATTGCATTTTGGACAACAGGACTGTCTCAGAACATCTTGGCTTTATATAAGTCTCATTCTGTGGCAGCAGACATTCAGAACTATGGCTTTCCCTGATCAAGGGACAAGGGATTAAAGTGTGACTCCAAAAGGGACAGAGGACAGCAGCTGCTGCTCTAGGATCATGCTATACAGTGGGCTTGACATTTAGTCCAGTGACGTGGAGTGGGATGTTTTACTAAGGATTAATCTTATGGGATTTTCTTATGCCTGCCCGATGAAGAGGTGCCAAAACTAAATAAAAACAAAACACACGTGAAAGCACACATGTGAGCATGCACACACAGACACACACACCCCCCCCCGACACACACACACACCCCTTTGTCCCTTTGTTCTCCTTAGGATACAAAATAATCTTTGAGGCCCCTAAAGGCTGCTCTCCTCTTTGAAGGAGGGAGAAACACAGAGCTCTCTACTGGCCCTTACCTACCTTAGAAGCTAGCCTTACTGTTGGAGAACAGGGCACAATCAGGCCCTTCATCAGGGTTAAATAGGAAACGCCCACCCTATAAGGAAGAGTAGGACAAAGGGGTTCTAGATTCAGAATGAATCAACATGAACATGTAGCCAAATTCGGACCCAATACTTCTGGGGCAAGCGGGCTGGGTTGTGGTGGAATTTGAGTACTAGGCAACATGTCCTGGAACCCCAAGCGAGATCAACATGCCTAGCATCAGCTGCTAGTGTTACAAGAAAGGGGCTCTGATCCGGACCCCAAGAGAGGGTTCTTGGATCTCGTGCAAGAAAGAATTCAGGATGAGTTCACAGTGCAAAGGGAAAGCAAGTTTATTAAGAAAGGAAAGGAATAAAAGAATGGCTATTCCATGGACAGAGCAGCCCTGAGGGCTGCCGGTTGCCCATTTTTATGGTTATTTCTTTTTTTTTCTTTTGAGACGGAGTCTCCCTCTGTCACCCAGGCTGGAGTGCAGTGGCCGGATCTCAGCTCACTGCAAGCTCCACCTCCCGGGTTTATGCCATTCTCCTGCCTCAGCCTCCTGAGTAGCTGGGACTACAGGCGCCCGCCACCACGCCTGGCTAGTTTTTGGTATTTTTTAGTAGAGATGGGGTTTCACCGTGTTAGCCAGAATGGTCTCGATCTCCTGACCTCGTGATCCGCCCGTCTCGGCCTCCCAAAGTGCTGGGATTACAGGCTTGAGCCACTGTGCCCGGCCTATGGTTATTTCTTGACGATATGCTAAACAAGGGGTGGATTATTTTATGCCTCCCCTTTTTAGACAATGTAGGGTAACTTCCTGATGTTGTCATGGTTTTATAAACTGTCACGGCACTGGTGGGAGTATAGCAGTGAGGATGACCAGAGGTCATTCTTGTCGCCATTTTAGTTTTGGTGGGTTTGGGCTGGCTCCTTTACTGCAACCTGTTTTATCAGCAAGGTCTTTATGACCTGCATTTTGTGCTGACCTCCTATCTCATCCTGTGACTTAGAATGCCTTAACCGTCTGGAAATGCAGCCCAGGAGGTTTCAGCCTCATTTTACCCAGCTCCTGTTTAAGATGGAGTTGCTCTGGTTTACACGCCTCTGATACTAGAATGTCTAGGACCCAGTTCTCAACAGAGAAGTATGGTGGCCTGAGAGCCAATGAAGCAATGGCCACAGCAGGCTGACAGCCCTTCCTCACCTGCATGCAGGTAGAGGATAGCAGGCTCCCAGCAGCCACCTCAGGGTTTCTAGCCTTTATCCCAGCTCTAATTTTAAATCTATTTCTTAAGTTTTTGGGTAATTATGGGAAAAAGTGGTTAAGTGGCAGCTTGTGAAAGCCTGTTACTGGTTTACTCAAAATAATGCAATGAGTAACAGGCTAGAACAGAAAATGTGACACAAGAAAGATGAGTGGTACACAGCACTGTCAAAAACAGAAAAAGAGGCGAGAAAAGAAAGGTCGGCTCTTTGGCCCATGATAGTCAAGGACTGCTCCCTACAATGTCATCACAGCTTCTGGTTCTGACTGGAGCTACTGGAAGTTATGCCAAATTAAGTCTGCATAAAGCCTCAGCGAGGATAAAACAGTTTCTGGGCAGAGGAATGTGACACAGAACCAGGGAAATATGACTAGACCTCATTATCTTGGTGCCTTTGATAACATACTGGAGAGCAGAGTGGGGTTTTGAATGGGCTGAAATCTTCCATAAATGGAGTCTAAATGCAGGCTACATAACATCCAAAACTCCTCAGAGAAATTCCTATTATGTACATGAAAGGGGGAATGCAGTAAGTCCCATTTGGCTGGGCAGGGAGCATTCTGCACTCAGTGAAACTTCGCGGTTCCCGTGCTGAGTGCCAACTGCATGTTCCTACTAGACCAAGGCCCTAAACACAGACGGGCAAGTGCAGTGGAAAATGAACTAAATGGAGCAGTCAGTGCTGGGCAATTCTTTGTCTCTAGAACATCAAAACCACAAGGCAAGATTTTAATAAAAGTATCTTTTTTTCATAAAGTTCCTAACTAGTTATGAGCCAGTACGATGATGAATGTGACTCAGAGTTGCCATGGCAAAACAGACTGACCTTATCTTTTTCCACGAGTCCCCATCGATACACAGCTAAAGCCAAGAATTAGTTGAGATGCATCACTAGTGACTCTCGCTCTGTGGGACTGACACACTCAGGGAAACCTCTGAATTTTAAAAGAAGTATACAGTGAAATTAACCATATTAGGAAAAAAAGGCACATGGGTGAGGTGACTCAGCTCAAATGTCACCTGCTCATAGAGGACTCCCCTGGAGAGCTGAAAGTTCCGCACTCCTTTCTTCACTAGTTAGTAACCTCTCGTCGCTCTTTAACACATTAACTGTGATAACTTTCAAAAGATAATTGGTGAGTGTTTATCCAACCTCCTTGTTTGAATTTCAGCTCCCAGAGACAGGAACTGTGCATGCTTCATTACGCTGTTCCTAACACCTACACAGAGGCTGGCACAGAGTAAGCCCCCAGTGTTCTTAGACTGGCTGCCTTTCCAAGTGCCAAGAACAAAGAGTGCAGTTGTCTGTAACTGAAGACTTTGTGGAGTCCAGAAAAACCAGCATTCACCTCAGTATATACATCACATATTGGAACGAGAAGTCTCTTTTACTATCGATGTCATATTGGTTAAGTCCGTGCCTGGAGGCAACGTGGTCTGAAGCAACACCACCCCAAGGGTGGTTCTCGAACCAGCAACATCAGCGCCACTTGGCCTTGTGCTAGAAAAGCCAAGTCCAGGCCCCACGGTGTACCCAGTAAGTCAGAATGTCTGGGGGTGAAGCCTAAGAATATGAGTTTTAATTAAGTTCTCCTGGTGATTCTTATGAGCCCTAAAGTTTTGAGAACCACAGATTCAGAAACAAATACTAGATTACCACAGACTGTGCCACTGATCTTAACTGAGTAACTGTTATTCAGAAATAAAGGTGAAAATAAGAAGGAAATGTCATAAAGACTAGCATTTGCCAGGGAAAACTGGCACGTTCTTGCTGGCATTTAGATTTTTTTAAATCAGGAAGAAGGAGAGTAAAGTATATGCCAAATGGTCTACATGGATAAACTCAGGGCAGTCAGAATGCCCCCACCAACTTCTGGCCAGATAACTGCCCCATGTTATGCTTCACCGGGGCCTCCCAGACCCGCCTGAAAACCAGCAAGCAGGTTAGGTTCCTTGTGCGTAGAACTCTCCCTTTACCTGTTTCCCCCTTCTTCCCTGGGACAGCACCATTTGTGGCTCTTTTTTTTTTTTTGAGACGGAGGCTCACGCTGTCATCTGGGCTGGAGTGCAGTGGCACAATCTCTTCTCACCACAGCCTCTGCCTCCCAGGTTCAAGCAATTCTCCTGCCTCAGCCTCCCACATAGCTGGGATTACAGGTGCCCACCACCACGTCCAGCTAAATTTTTTTTGTATTTTTAGTAGAGATGGGACTTCACCATACTGGCCATGCTGGTCTCGAACTTCTGACCTCGTGATTTGTTGGCCTCGGCTTCCCAAAGTGCTGGGATTACAGCCATGAGCCACTGCACTTGGCCAATCTGCGGTTCTTTCTAAGAATCACTGCAACAGATGATGGACCAGGACAACTCAGCGAGGGCTGCCCCACTTCCCGCCCCGGAGACGAGGAGGGGAGCCGCGCCATACCATGATTGAGATGCCTGATGCAGTCACTCAGGAGGGCACTAAACCTCTTCTGGTCAGCAGCCTCGTGGAAGCAGAAGTAGCCGTGTCTGAGGAAGGGTTGCCACAGGTACACTGGGAATTCCTTGGGCAGGACCACGAAGGGCTGAGCATTTTCCTTCTCACTGGAGGCTAAAGAAATATTGAAAACACAAATACCTTTTCAAACGTGTATCTCTTACTTCAAATATGTGTTTCAGGTTGTGAGGGTAACTATCTGGGGCAGGGCATGGGATGGAAAGTCGGTGAGATATTTTCACAGGGTAGGGAAACTGGGAGCACCAGCTCCTCTGGCATCCCTCCACCAGCTTGTCCTGTTCCACTGCCGCTGGCTGCCTGGCCTCCTACCCAACACCACGGGGACAGTGAGGATACCAGGAACACAATGTTTTCTTTTTTTTGAGACAGAGTCTCGCTCTGTTGCCCAGGCTGTAGTGCAGTGGCACAATCTTTGCTCATTGCAACCTCCACCTCCCAGATTCAAATGATTCTCCTGCCTCAGCCTCCCAAGTAGCTGGGATTACAGGCACATACCACCACCTTCAGCTAATTTTTGTCTTTTTAGTAGAGACAGGGTTTCACCTTGTTGGCCAGGCTCCTGACCTCAAGTGATCTGCCCACCTCGGCCTCCCGAGTAGCTGGGATGATAGGCATGAGCCACCGCACTCGGCTAGTTTTTTTGTATTATTTGTAGAGACAGGGTTTTGCCATGATGCCCAGGCTAATCTCAAACTCCTGAGCTCAAGCGAGCCACGTGACTTGCCCTCCCAAAGTGCTGGGATTACAGGCATGAGCCACCGCGCCCAGCCTGGGCACAATCTTTCTCAACTTCCTTATGTCTAAAGACCCACAAACAGAGCTCCGTCTGCCCTCCTGGCCCTCTGCAGGCCACTGACCACCTGTGCAGCCCCTCACTCTACTGGCCCTGCAGGCTCCAGCTCCAACAGTGCTGCTCTCTGCCCTGCACTCTCTCCCTCCTCCCCGTCACTACCAAACACCACTTGCTGTTTTTATGCCATCAACCTTATTCTCACCTCACTCTGATTCCTGTCCCTACCAACTCCTGAAACCCAACTGCTAAAGCCACTTATGTCATCCTGACTGCCAGCCTATGGCTGCTTCTTTTCATCTGACTTGAAATATTTGCTGCTGCTAATTATCCCTTCTTTGAAAACATTCTCTCCCCATGACTTCCAGGAGTGCCTCTCTCCTGGTTTCCTTCATGCTGTGTAAAATTTTGTTTCTTCTTTATCACCTTTATTGGTTCCTCTGCTGACTCTCTCCATCTCCTCGCTAAGCATTGGTGCCTGCCCCGTTCTGTGCTGGCCTCCCCTCCGCTCTGCCTGTACCCTCCCAGGGTGTGTTCACCCATTCCATGACTTGTTATATTGTTCCTACAGTCCAAAGAATCCTCTCTTCCTTCCTTTCCATCATGCTTTCCATAAAAAAATTCTCATTCATCCTTCAAAAGTCAGTTCAAAAGCCACTCCTCTGGGATACCTTTGCTGGCACATCCCACTGCCACCAGAGACAGAGTTAGGTGCTCCCTACCCTGTTCTCCCCAAATACTACAATGACCTGTTTTCATGCCCAGCACCCATACTCAAGGTGGGGAGGTGGGGAAAGGGAGTGAGATGGATTCCCGGGCTGTTCTCCTCCCCAGAGAGAACAACTGCTACCCACTGTGAGTGCCGAGAGACGCAGACTGCATCTTCCAGAGCTTTGCATCCTTAGCCCATAGCACAGTCATGGAACACAGCAGATGTTCAACTTCAGTTTGTTGAGTGAAAAATATGCTGTGTTGGCCTAGGATATTTTTTAAAGCCCTAGACAATGGGACTTTTACCTCTTCCCTCAAAATCAATTCCAAGAAACTCATTTTAAACCCACTACTATTCAGAACCCCTACCTAAACTTTACTCCTTTCCATGCATTCCTATTACATGATATTGCACTTGGTTAAAAGAGTCCCAGCTTTTTCCAGAGTCACAGAGAACAAGCAGAAGAAAATGTTAGTTCTGTACTTCCTGCATATGTATTAGGCGCCAATCTCAGGGAAAGGTAAGGAAGAGGGTCTCTCTAAGAGACCATTGGAAGCACTGGGAATACAGGGAAATGAATCATAACCACATGGGAGGCTACAGAACCGTGTCAATTCTGGCAAATTAATAAATCAGAATTGCTCACGCCTGTAATCCCAGCACTTTGGGAGGCCGAGGAGGGTGGATCATGAGGTCAGGAGTTCGAGACCAGCCTGGCCAACATGGTGAAACCCCGTTTGTACTAAAAATACAAAAATTAGCCGGGCATGGTGGTGCGCACCTGTAATCCCAGCTATTCAGGAAGCTGAGGCGGGAAAAATGCTTGAACCCGGGAGGCAGAGGTTGCAGTGAGCTGAGATCACGCCACTGCACTCCAGCCTGGGTGACAGAGCGAGACTCCATCTCGAAATCAATCAATCAATCAATCAGGATTGGTTTAAACGAAGAATAAATTCCTGGGGATGTATGGGAGCTCGGTTCCAGTGTCCCGGAATCTGAAGGTAACAGAGCAGAATGCACCGCGAACACAAGCCGTGGCCTACCAGGACCTAGCACAATGCTGGGAATGAATCAACATGAAAATGAGCAAATGAATGAATGATTGAATGCTATAGGGACACCTATAGTTGTAACATGATATCTATTTCACTTTCTGGTGAGAATAAGGCCCCTGATTTTTAGATGGGCAAGTGACTACATAAACTAAGACTACATTTCCAGCCTCCCTTGCAGCTTGGTGAGCCCACAGCTACTAAGATCTGTCCAGTAAGATATAAACTGAAGTGGCATATGAAACTTCCTGGAGGTATCTCTAAAGAAAGTGACTGGACCCCCCTCCTTTCCTTTTCTCCTCCCTATTATCTGGAATGAGAACGCTATGGTAGGAGCTCAGCAGCCACCCTGGACTCTGCCAATAGGGACCACAACCTAGAAACAAAGGGGGAGAAAGCAAGAAAAAGCCTGAGCTTCTGACAAATTTAGTCCACATCAGCCCTGGACGAATATTCAAATATCTTTAGTGAAATAATAAAACTTTGAGTTTTTTGTTGTATGCAGTGAACCAGATGCTAACCAGTAAAATGCCAAACAAGTGAATTACTTTAACAAAACATGGGGCCGTTTTTTTCTGTTATCAACTTAGCTGAACACTCTGTAAAGAATACACTTATTGGCCAGGCATGGTGGCTTATGCCTATAATCCCAGCACTTTGGGAGGCCAAGGCAGGACGGTCACTTGAGCTCAGGAGTTAAAGACCAGCTTGGACAACAGAGTAAGACCATTGTTTCTGCAATTCCTTTTTTGTTTTTTTGTTTCATTTTGTTTTTCTGGGCATAGTGGCATGTAGCTGTGGTCCCAGCTACTCAAGAGGCTGAGATGGGAGGATTACTTGAGCCCAGGAGGTTGAGGCTACAGTGAGCCATGATCACACCACTGCATTCCAGCCTGTGCTACAGAGCGAGACTCTGTCTCAAAAAAAAAAAAAGAAAAGAAAAGAAAAGAAAAAGAAATGCACTTATTCATAAGCCTCTAGTGCTTTTTCCAAGAAATGCACTTATTCATAAGCCTCCCATCTTTATTATGCCTTTATTCTTTCCAGTAGAAATAATATCACAGAGTCAGTCTTCTTCATTGACATGGTTCTATCAATCCTCCTTGCCCTCTCCAAGAATGCCACAATTTTGTACAAGCAACTAAAAGCAACATTGACCCTTTGCATTTAAAAAGCCTCAACAAGCCCATAAAATTCATTCCTATTAGCGTCTAGTTATCTCTCAACCTTTTACAACAATTTTCCAGATGGCATCAGTGAATTTTTTCTGAGTTACAAGAATATCACAACTGATCTACTGTAGAATATTCTATTTTAAAAGTCAGAAGGTCACACCACACAATTTTAAAAAGTCATTGAAATGCCCCAATCTGAAGTCTTGGGCCAACTGGGATTAATCACACAGGACTTGTGTTTTTTAGTCCTTTTCATTCCTTCCAATATGATTTCAGCAATAAATCAATAAACATATTGTCTCTTCTGACTGATTTCATTGGAAAGTTTGAGAGAGATTTGGATGAGTCAACATGTTGGTATTCCCATTTCTAGCTGCAGCTCCACCTCCAAGGGCATATAAGTAGATGTAAAAGAAAATATAATAATATGCATAGTGCAATAAAATGTTGTTTTAGCATGAATTACTTAGTAATAATTTGTTAATCTTGGTTTACGGTCCATGTACCAATCCCGTAATTGTGTTATTAAAAACACTATGCTAAGCAGTCAGCACTGAAATAACAATTGATAAAATGATTACGTTTTTCTCCATAAATTCTAATTAAATTATTATGTCCATTAATAAGAACCAGGGCTCTCTTCAGGAACCAAGTAATTACTGGGTAGTATGATTTACGCAAAGCCAAATGGAGTTATTACATTATCCACACTTCATGAATCTCTATGAAATGTCCTATTTGGTCTATATATTAGCCATCATTTCTCCATATGTAAAAAGTGGAATGAATGAGAATCAAAGAAAGTTAGAGCTAGAAAGACATTTCTAGGTTTTTAAGTTCAAAGCCCTGTTTTTGAGTTGAAGAAATAGAAACCAGAACTGTTCAGCAGCCGGCTAAGCTAAAGCATTTGGTAAGTGGCACAGCCAGAACTAGATAAAAATCCAGTCTCCCAATTGTCTTTCCATGGCAGCATCCCAGCTTTATTTATAGATATGCAAATTAATGCAATGCTTTTTTTTTTTTCTTTTTTTCACAGTAGCTATGAGTTACTGGAACACTGATTAAAAGGTTTCTGGTCTATTTAGGGTATTTAGTTGTATATCATCCTAAAATTAGAAAAATAGTATTCCCTGACAGGTCCAGGCTTGCTTACTAAAAGATGGGATTGTACATGTCATGGAGTGGGCCCTACCTGTTGATTTCTGCTGCCTTGTGGAGTGCTATCAAAGCCTGCAATATATTCCAAAAGCTTCAAGATACCTGGCTGATAGCACATTTTCCATGCGCTAGAAACACAGAGGCTGACTGTGTATTATTGAATGGGATTAGAAATAATGGAAGTGGTAAAATGTTTTCCTAAACTATAGAAATCACATCTTCCACTTGTCTATGGGGCATGAGTGTCTAGCCCAGGGTTTCTCAACCTTGGCATTACTGATACTTTATGCCAGATAACTCTTCGTTGTTAGGGTCTGTCCTGTGCGTGGTAGGATGTTTCGTAGCATCCCTGGCCTCTATTCACTAAATGCCATAGCACCCTCCTTCCAGTTGTGACAAACAAAAATGTCTCCAGATGCTGCCAAATGTCCCTGGAGGGAAATCCCTCTCCTTCACTGAGAAACACTGCTCTGCTAAACAAAGAAGCTTAGTCATTTTGCCTTGGAAAAGAATGATCAGCAACTCACCAAGAGGGTCTGGGAAATGCCTATCAGACAATAGATTATATTCATCTTCTGAGGTTAACACCTTGCCACCAGCTGGAAGAATTCGGCTTTTAGGAGCAGCTCCTCTCTGATAGGCCTGGGGGAGGAAAGCATACAGGAATATGTTTTTCCCCATTTGATTTTTGGAAAATACCAGGAATAAAACAAATAGACAGATTCAGACTTTCAGAGATAGCAATCCCCATACTATGTTATTGAGTTACAGTCATTTATTCAAAAAATATGTTTTGAATACCTGCTAATGGCAAAGTAATATTTTAATACTTTCATGTGACGGTCACAACATGGTAAATCAGAGTCCCTAATCTCAGGGAGATTCACCCTAAGTATGTTCTCGAACGTGGAAAACATAATCTCAGTAACTCAGAAAGTCCCTACCACATTTGTCATTTCAGATGCTAACACCTAAATCATTCTGATAATAACCACAAAGGTGACGATCACAGAAATACTGCACAGAATGCTTGGTGACTGACGTGGGCCACATATGATGACTCATGAGACTGTGGAACACGTAGCGGCAATGATAGTTACCATGGATTTTCATCAAAACATTAAAATGTTGGCATAAAATATGCCACTACTTTGCCCTCAGATGTGAAACTGTTTTGCAGCAAAATGGTTGAGATGAAAGTACAGCATTGTGACATCAGAAAAAATTCTGGCCAGCAGACAAGAAGCTCTGCTATTTGAGACACAGAAAAGAGGCACAGGGCATTGCTAAAGCAGTTTGGTAAGCACGTATGCCCACAAGGACAGACAGGTAAGATAAAATTTAAGTATGTGCATCTGACGGGAGGGCTAAAGTCAAGGCAAAATTCTGCAACTAGTAATCTAAAGGCACATTGAGAATTGAAACTAAGAAACTTTGAAACCCAAAATCTAGAATGTACTCTTGGAAATAACTAAATAATGTTGATCTGACCAATATAATCAGAGTAACGGTAACATATTCTGCAGCAGTAAGATAGTGAAGAGATCCAAATAAAACAAACTCTCAGATATCTAAAAGGCTTGTCTTCATACTTGTAACAACCATTAATCAACTGCTTAAGCATGTCAGGGAAGCAGAACATACCCACTATCACAGAATTCTGGCAGTCTGACCTATTCACCCTAAGAAGGAAGACTGGAGGACTCTTCTGAATGAATGATTAACCCAGGAAGGAGGATCTCTACATAATTGAGAGTTCCTCATGAAATAATACCTTAAAAAGCTCTAAGCACTCCCACAGAGCTACATTATAGTGAAACAATAATATTGAGAGAAGAATCTAAACTTATATGATATTAAGACGATTTAGAAGCAATTTTATTTAGACTGGACTCAAAAGTGAATTGTATTATTAGTTATAACAGGCTCCAATATTGGCTTTTATAAGCATTATACCATTTAATCCTCAAAACGGTACTATGCATTAGATGTTATCTCCATTTTTCAAACGGGAAATGTGAAGCGCAAAGAAACTGAATAACTTGCCCATGGCCCAGCAGTGAGGAGGTGACACATCCAGGATTCATATTCATGTCTGTCCAGGCCCAGTGCACACAAAATAGATACTGATTATCAAGTGAGAATGTTTTACTTTTCCTGTTTAATTGCCAGCCAAAATTGGACTCTAAATAAAACAGTAGACAATTTACAGGTACTTAATGTGTAATTCTTAGATATAATTTTATAAGATACTTCCATAAACTAAAAAAATATATATTATTAAAACTTTGAGAAATTATGACAAACTGCATGAACTTTAAAAAATTCCAAGTTTTAAAAAATACTTGGTTATTACCAACTTCAGTCACCATATCTTAACAATGTGAACAGGTTCAGTTAAAAATGATGAACAAAGAAAAAGCAGTGCAATGTACAAACTGCAAGCTGAGAGAGCAAGCTGAAATAAGTGAAAAGAGGAAAAACACCAACATTTGATTCGAAATGAAACTTCAGTTAGTGTTAAATGCAGTGAAAAACTTTAATAAATCCAAGAACAAGATCTAGGGCTGTTTCCTCCCAATGGGTTAGTAGTAATCATACCAACAACTGCTCCACACCCAGCTCTAGCTTGACCACAGGCCCAGCCGTATGCTAAATGCTTCAGTACATTCATTCACTTACTCCGCTCAACACCATGGCAAAGAAATCACGCGGATCTCATTTCATAGACGAGAAAACCGAGGCTCAAGATTTCTAACTTAGGCAAGGGCGCATATCTAGTAAGTAAGTGGTAAAGGTATGAGTCAAAGGCCTAAATATGGGCCATATTACGCTACACTGTCCCTCCTCAAGCTCTTCTGAAAGGACATTGTAATGGGTCGTACAAAACATAAGGTGACTTGTTATTATTATTTGTAGCGTATTGATACTTTGTTGCTGAGTACACATCAAGTGTTGAATAAAATCCTAATATTGATAAGCAGAGAAAATATTAGCTTAATAAATGTTAAAAAGAGTAAGTCTACCCAAGAGAGCACTTGAGCTTTGCCTGGTAGCTTGTGAAACAAATTTGTAGTATATTTTATTTCTATTTTCCATGAGAAATGGGAAGGAAACAGATTGGTCTGTCAGTCTGAAACCTCTTCCTAATGGTTTAGCATCAGGAGTACCCCTCACAGTTCTCTATGAAGACTATCTTGACTACTCTTTCTTTTTTTTTGAGATGGAGTCTCGCTCCATCACCCAGACTGGAGTACAGTAGGATGATCTCGACTCACTGCAACCTCCACTTCCCGAGTTCAAGTGATTCTCCTGCCTCACCCACCTGAGTATCTGGGACTACAGGGATGTACTAGCACGCCCAGTTAATTTTTGTATTTTTAGTAGAGATGGGGTTTCAAAATGTTGGCCAGGCTGATCACGAACTCCTGACCTCAGTTGACCTGCCTGCCTCGGCCTCCCAAAGTGCTGAGATTACAGGCATGAGCCACTGCACCCAGCCGTCTTGACTATTCTTGAGCTTAGAGGCCAGAGAGCAGAGTTTTAACTCTGTCACTATCCTTCACTGATAAATAGTACCTGTTCATTTCAAAGGGAGCTTGAGGGTCTATGTAGACTAAAAAAATGTGTACAGTATGAGATCTGGGAGGACAGTGGGATCATTTGACTTAACTGTTTAGCTTTGTTGAGGCCTGAAGACAGAAGTCACTTGTCAATGAGTTCACTTCTAGTTAATGGCACAACTCGACCTAACCTTTAGTTTGCCAAATTCACTGCCTGATATTTTTTCCCCTGTACCACACTACCTCCCTACATAAGGAAAGAAATGGGAACCAATAAAAACTGAAGTCCTCCCAGGTGCTGAATGCTTTACACCCATTATCTCATCTTCACATTTTACAGATAAGGAAAATAATGAAATAACCAGAAAAAAAGTTAAACGGAAAACAAAAATACCTCCATGGGAATAAAGTATGTGAGGCATTCTGAATTCCTAGGAACCCGGGCAAACCCAGGCAGATTCAAATTTAATGACAACCTATGAAACAACTCCTCAGCCACCTGTCACGTACAGGGCTTCAGAGTGGGAAGACAGGGACATAGAGCAGAGACATCAGGACAGTGGCTGAGAAAGATCTCGAGGCTGAATGATCATAGGAAAGGCTCCTGTGCCAAATACTGGTCCTTCTATCTTCATATTCACTTGTAATCACCTGTTCAAAGTCTACCTTGCCACTAGACAGCAAGCATCTGTCTTACCAACTGCTGCATACCCAGAACCTTGTATAACACTTGATATGCAGCAGGCATTCAATCAGTATCTGTTAGCTGAAACAGGTACTTACATGAATGAGTGCTAACTGAATGAATCAGTCTCCAAGGAGAGGGCACACCAATCAACCCAGCTAAACTTTTAAGAATAGTGCAAGAACCAGTGGTAACAAAGAAGTATCTTACCTCTTTATTCTCATAGCTCTCCACAGCATAATCATTTTTAACTACAACGTATCTCTCCTTCCACTTCTTTATGTCTTCAGAAAATTGTGATAGCTCTGCTTCATACAAAATAGTTCCAGGCGTCAATGGCGGCTTAAAGAAGATGAACACAATTAACTATCACAACAAATGATAACACTCCTTGTTACCACTAAGTTACCCATGGTATTTCAAGGAATAGTTGAGGAAACTATCTTCCACTGAGATCCTGGGGAAACTGTTGCTTCCTCTTCTCCTTCTACAATTTCCCTTTCCTGCTCCACTTGACCCAATGTAAATATTTGTCTTATTGGTATTTTTATGATTTTCATTTCCCTCTATTATGCTGTAGGAACAGAAGCATATGGTAGAAGGAATTATAGTTATTACTTAAGGTTATGCCTTGCATACACGTGGCACTCAATAAATGCTTGATAAACTCTATAGGAGAGAGGGAGTGAGGCAGGAAAGTATAAGTGTGGATATCCACAAGGATATGTCTGAACATGTCTCAGGGTTAATCCCCACAAAGCAGGAGAATTAACAGACCGTTCTCCTATTCAATACACCTGCCGATGCAGCCTCTAATGCTCAATGGTTTTCTTAAACCCAAAGCCATGGGGACCCCTCTCCATGCTACTCAAGGAGATTGTGTTTGCTATTTGGTTAAAGAATAAGCAGGTATCAAGTCAGAACACCTCAGTTCTACCTCTTCTACTTAAAAGTTTGAGGATTTTTCATTAACCATGGTGATATATGTACTGTACAGGCATTTCCATTAGATTCCTAGTTAGGTCTTCCATTGGGTTAACTGTGTAAGGATAATTCCCATCCTGCTTCATTGTGTAATTCTCAAATTATTTCAAAATATACAAATGGGCCTCTTGTCTTTTATGTGTCACTGAATTTACATCTATTTTCCCTTTACTAAAAAATCATAGTGCCTTCAGAAACTTACCCCTCTACTTTCAAGTAAAATTTTAAATGAACTATACAGAAAAAAAAATAGGTATGCCCATCTCTTTTAAGAATCATCTAAGGGATGAAACAAATACCCTTCCAAATTCCAGCGCTTAATATTCTAACCTGACAGATAATGCGGCAGTCTCCTATCTTGCCTCATTAAAAGGTAAAAGAGAATCTCTTCTCTTTAAATGAAACTGAAACCATGGTATAAGATGAACTTCGTAGTTCTTATGTGCAACTTTTCTTAAAATCTGGGCCACTCAATCAACTGATAAGCTTGTTAAAAATGGGGCCTCACCATAGACTTACTACATCAAAATCTCTGGGGCAGTGGGCCAGAATGTGCATTTTAACAAGCTCCCCACATTTTGAGATCACTGTTTTATGAGGGAAAGCAATCACTTATCCCTATGTACTCATGCTGCTAAATATATTGGTTAACTTCTCAGCATTATGTGACTCACTTATCACTTATTCTCTCTTGAAACACCTTCTTTTTCATTTTTAGTTTTAAAAATTTTATATTCAAGGGGTACGTGTGTTTCTTACATGGGAATTAAGTGTAAGGGTGGGGATTGGGCTCCTAGTGTACCCATCACCCAAATCTTGAACATTGTACCCAACAGGTAATTTTTCAATCCTCATTCCCCTCCCACCTTCTCCACTTTTGGAGTCTCCAGAGTCTATTCTCTCCATCTTTATGTCCATGTGTACCCATTACTTAGCTCCTGCTTATAAGTGAAAACATGTGGTATTTGATTTTCTGTTTCTGAGTTAGTTCACTTAGGATAATGGCCTCCAGCTCCATCCATGTTGTTGCAAAGGATAGGATTTTGTTCTTTTCTATGACTGTGTAGCATCCTGTGGTGTATATAGACCACATTTTCTTTATCCAGTCAACCACTGGTGCATACTTAGGTTGGTTCCATGACTTTGCTATTAAAAACAGTGCTGTGATAAACATACACGTACAGGAGTCTTTTTTATATAATGATTTCTTTTCCTTTGGGTAGATACCCAGTAGTAGGATTGCTGAGTCGAATGATAGTTCTTTTTTAGTTATTTGTGGTATCTCCATACTGTTTTCCCTAGGGGTTGAACTAATTTACATTCCTACTAACAGTGTATGAGCATTTCCTTTTCTCCACATCTACATCATTCGTTATTTTTTGACTTTTTAATGACAGCAATTCTTACTGGTGTAAGATGATATCTTGGTGTGGTTTGTTGTTGTTTTATGTTTGTTTTCTGACAGAGTCTCACTCTGTCATCCCGGCTGGAGTGCAGGGGCGTGATCTCGGCTCACTGCAACCTCCCGGGTTCAAGTGATTCTCCTGCCTCAGCCTCCTGAGTAGCTGGGATTACAGGCATGTGACACCACGCCTGGCTAATTTTTGTATTTTTAGTAGAGACAAGGTTTCGCCATGTTGGCCAGGCTGGTCTTGAACTCCTGACCTCAGGTGATCCACCTACCTCGGCCTCCCAAAGTGCTGGGATTACAGGCATGAGCCACCGTGCCCGGCCGGTGTGATTTTAATACACACTTATCTGATGATTAGTGATGCTGAGTATGTTTTCATGTGTTTGTTGTCCACTTGTATGTCTTCTTTTGAGAAATGTCTGTTCATGTCCTTTGCCCAGTTTTTAATGGGGCTATTTTTTCTTGTTGAGTTTCTTGTAGATTCTGGACATTAGTCCTTTGTTAGAGGCATAATTTGCAAATATTTCTCCCATTTTGTAGGTTACCTGTTGATTTCATTGACTATTTCTTTTTTTGTATATAGGCTTTTTAGTATAACTAAGTCTCATTTGTCTATTTTTGTTGCATTTGTTTCTGGGGTCTTCACCACAAATTCTTTGCCTAAAATGTCCAGAAGAGTTTTTCCTAAGTTTTATTTTAAGATTTCTATAGTTTCAGGTCTTACATTTAGGTTTTTAATCCGTCTCAAGTTAATTTTTGTACATAGTGAGAGATAGGGGTCCAGTTTCCTTCTTCTACATATGGCTAGTCAGTTTTTCCAGCACCTTTTATTGAATGGGGTATCCTTTCTTCATTATTTATTTTTGTTGATTTTATCAAAGATCAGTTGGTTGTAGGTATGTGGCTTTATTTCTGGGTTCTCTATTCTGTTCCATTGGTCTACATGTCTATTTTTGTCTCAGTGCCTGTTGATTAAGTTAGTATAGCCTTGTAGTATAATTTGAAGTCAGGCAATGTGATGCCTCCAGATTTGTTCCCTTGCTTGGGCATGCTTTGGCTATTCGGGCTTTTATTTGTTCCATATGAACTTTAGGATTAATTTTTCTAATTTTGTGAAAAATGACATTGGTAATTTGATAGCAATTGAATTGGAGCTGTATATTGCTCTGGTGAATATGGTCATTTTAATGATAGTGATTCTTCCAATCTGTCAGCATGGGATGTGTTTCCATTAGTTTGTGTTGTCTACAATTTCTTTCATCCAGGTTTTGTAGTCCTTGTAGAGATCTTTCATCTCCTTGGTTAAATGTATTCCTAGAGGTGTGTGTGTGGGGGGGTGTGTGTGTGTGTGTGTGGGTGGGGGTGGGGGTGTTCGGTGGGGGTGGCTATTATAAATGGGATTGAGTTCTTAATTCTGAAATCCCTTTTTTATTTGCCTTCTGGTACATTATACTTTTCTGATTTTTCTCCTACTCCATAGACTGTTTCTTCTTAGTCCATTTTGCTGGATCGTTTTCCTTTTTCTGATTTCGCAATGCTGAAGGGGCCAGTGTACTGTTTCTTTTCTCTGTCTATATTCTTTCCCTCTTTTGTGGCCCATGGCCTTAATACCAGTTATAAGCTAACAACTTCCACATTTCTATTTTCCAGCCTCAATCACTCTGCTGAGCTCCAAATGAAAACATCCAATGGCCTATTCAACATTTCCACAGGCGTATGTAAAACTAGCATCTCAAACTTAACATGGTCAAAAGGGAACTCGTGATCCCATTCACTCCGACTCTTCCTTCTAAGTAAAAGGCAACTCCATCCACTTATTTGCTCTGGTTAAAAACCAAGAAGTCATCACTGATTTCTCTCTTCTTCTATTATCTCACACCCAACCCAACAGTATGTTCTGTCAGCTCGATCATAAACACCTCTCCTCACAACCATGGCCATCATCACCCCAGTCCAATTTGGCATCATTCTTCCCTTGGATGCTACAATATCCTGCTCGCCAGTTTCCATTCTCCCCTCTTGCCCCATAGTCTATTCTCTACAGAGAAGCCAGACAGATCACCTAAAATTATATGTCACTCTGTATTCAAAACCCTCCAGTGGGACTTCCCAACACAAAACAAAATCAAAACCCTATTGTGATCCACAGGTTGACATGATGTGGTCCTGACCTATCTCTATGCTGTCATTGTTCGCCCCTCCTCCCTCACTCACAGTACTCCCAGCAGACCAACCTTCCCCCTGTGTGGCAAGGTCTTCACACTTGCTGTTCCATAGGCCTGGAATACTCTTCCCATGAATATTCACAGAGTCTACTCTCATTATACTCCAGTTTCTGCTTAAATGTTATCTCCACAGAGGGTTCCCCTAACCACCTTCTCTAAAACACGGCTCTAGGCTGGGCATGGTGGCTCACACCTGTAATCCCAGCACTTTCAGAGGCCGAGGCAGGTGGATCACTTGAGGTCAGGAGTTCAAGACCAGCCTGGCCAATATGGTGAATATCTTGTCTCTATTAAAAATACAAAAATTAGCTGGGTGTGGTGGTACACACTTGTAATCCCAGCTAGTCGAGAGGCTGAGGCAGGAGAATCACTCGAACCCGGGAAGCAGAGGTTGCAGTGAGCTGCGACTGCACCACTGCACTCTAGTCTGAACCACAGAGCGAGACTTCATCTCAAAAATAAAATAAGTCTCTTGCTTTATTTTTCTTTTTAGCATTTATTATTATCTGATGTCATCTGATATTAGCTTGTTTGTTGTCTGTTTCCTGCATGTGAATATAAACTTCAGGAAGGCAGAGAACTTGTCTTAATTCCCCAGTTCTTGGACTATAGCCTAGCACATAGTAGGTGCTAACAAACATTTGTTGAGGTGGTGTTGCTTATTATAACGGAGCAAAGGAGTAATAATAAATTAGGGGGTTCAAAGAGAAACTCATATTTGATCAATGACCAAAACTTCATGACAGCAAGTCAAATTTTCTGATACAAACAAAGCATCCATGTGGGAAAAATACATAACAATATTGGATTCATGCTAATTTCCTTTTTATATGGATTGTTATCAGCAAAAAGAAATCATACATTCCAACTTCCAGGCAAATAGAGTTTTTTGAGTATGAAACGACTTTAGAGCAGAGTTTTTAAAACTGCCATTCAAATTATTGTTTATTTCAGAAATATTGTGTGCTATATAGCCTTCTTCAAGGGAAAAACCATGTAAACCAAATATCCATGGCTTACCTTGGTCTTCAAAAACTGTGACATTAAATCTCTTTGCTGTTCTACTTCACTGCGCACATGATTACAGAAAGCCACAGAGTACTGACGACTGTAGTAGGGACTGAAGTTTTTGATGGCAGCCTCAGTTTTCCCTAGAAAAATATGAAAATTAGAATTCTGAAGTATAGCACAGAATTTACACTTAGCTACAGAGTTCGAAAATCCATCCCTCCAGTCTCTCTGTTTCCATCCCTCCAGTCACCCCTGTCTCCCAGGGATTTGCCAGTAGTCTGTGTTCCTGGAGAACTTTGCTACCTGCTGCACATGCCCCATCTCTCCCTCTCCTTCCGGCATCATCCTGAGAGACTTCACAGACCCTAAGGACCATCCATCCCATAACCTATTGAGTTTTGCTTTATTTTCCATCAATAACCTATCGCCATGGCCATAAACTCAACCATCCTTCTAATCCTCCTAAGACTGCTCTTCTACCTTGCCCTGTCTCCACTTCAACTCCCTCTTTATTCCCCTTGACGTGCAGTCATTCAGCTCCTTCCTCCAAATGATAATCCCAGGTCTACCCCTTCAATTCTGCAAAAACATCACTTCCTCCCTTTTTTTTTTTTGAGACGGAGTTTCCCTCTCGTTGCCCAGGCTAGAGTGCAGTGGCGCAATCTCGGCTCTCCACAACGTGCACCTCCTGGGTTCAACCGATTCTCCTGCCTCAGCCTCCCGAGTAGCTGGAATTACAGGTATGTGCCACCATGCTCGGCTAATTTTGTGTTTTTAGTAGAGGGGTTTATCCATGTTGGTCAGGCTGGTCTGGAACTCCCAACCTCAGGTAATCTGCCCACCTCGGCCTCCCAAAGTGCTGGGATTACAGGCGTGAGCCACCACATCTGGCCATCACTCCCTTTTTCTTCAGATCCCTGAGGCTCCACCTCTAGTCTTGTGACTCACGGTCCTGGATAAAATCAGCAAAGTATTTCCTCTCACTCTGCTCCAATGTCTCTGGTTCAAAATTTGTGTGTGTGATTCAAAGCAGTATATAACTACCACGAGACAGAAGGGGAAACTTTGGTTTAAGAGCCTAGAGACCTGAGCTCTGGCCCCGATTCTGTGAGGCAGAAACCAGCTGCACAACCTCAGTCAAGTCATTCGACTCTCGAGGCTCCAGCATCCTAATTATAAAGGAAGGTGCTCACTAGTCCACACATTTCTTTGGATCTGCGTGCCATTGAAGTATAAGTACAGTACGAAAGTCCAGCTGCCTCACAACAGTGACTAGAAACTGCAATATATTAAACAGACTCTCAGCACCAGAAGTAAATCAAACTGAGTATGAATGTGGGGGAAGCTTGAGGACTTGAGATGGAGGGACAGGGAGAGTCAGACACCTGAAACATTCTTGCCTTTCCAATCTGTGCTAGCTTTAGAGAGTACGGGAATTGCAAAGGAGGGAAGAGAGGAGGAGGAGTAGAGGAGAAAGGGTGTAGGAGCATTCTCATGCAGATTAGAAACCCTTACAACATTTCAACTGCTTGCTGCAGGGTATAGAAAGAAACACAGGCTTCACTGATTGTGCTCATACGCGATGAGTCCGCAGAACAGGGTACAGCTTGAGGAAAAATAAACTCCATGTCATATTCCAAAATATTTTAAAGTACTTGCACGTGAACTTGACATCATTTTTGCTTTTAAAATTTGATATTATAGTCAATTGAGAGATATTAAAATATACAAGCAAGATTTGTTTAGAGCTATCACGTAGGTAAAATTTCAAAAATAAGTGAAGAGTTCTAGCTACATAAATTGAGGTACTCAATAGGAAAGCCTTGAATCCATAGCAACCCATTTCTAAGCCTATAGAACCATAGCCAAAGACACCATAGTGTATGAATATTCTCCATATGCAGAGAATCCTATTTTTGTTTGGGAATTTAGGTCTTATAATATATGTGAGGTAAAGAGGAATTCTTTCATATTTACTTCATAACATGAAATTTACTGGTCAGGTTTATGAGCTTTAATAATTATTACTTGTAAGGTGCTTTGAGACCCACTAATAATAGATTCTGTAGAAATGCAAATAAAAGCTCCTATAATTTGAATCAGGCATGCTTTTGCTTGCTGTGTGAGTTTATGGTATTACTATTAATTGGTATTTGCATAACACTTTAATATACTCAGGCTTTATAATCCTCTAATTGCTTATTATGCTATCAGCTTTTATGCAGCATCATTCTCTATACTTGTCTATAATTTTCTTACATAGGAGTGGGGCAGTGTGGGAATTCCCACAATGAGAACAAATCTCACTTTACTAAAACATATACATGATGAATAAAATTTGCCCTTTAGGTCCAAATAGCTACTGTTTGGTCTATCAGAAAAGCAGCCTGTTAATTTCTAATGTTTATTTTTGTACTCTTGAAAGCACTTGGATTGAAATGAAAGGAGGTGGATGTCATTTTATGATAAACTCTATAAAGCTTTGAAAGTTGATTTTCTGCCACATCACCAAGCCTCCCCCAGGGACGCCCTGCTTCTGGTGAGGTGTCATAATGCTCTCTTCTGATATATGAGAAAAATGCTTCTGTGATTTGAATATCTGCATACTGTCCCAGTAACACATCATCCACCAGGTAGCGTTTATAAAGAAGCAATTGCAGCTTCTTTAGGTAATTAATCTAAAAACTAGTTCAAACTACGTATGATATAGCTAACAATACCATATGTTCTGGGGGGAAACCTAAAGTTATTTGGCAAGTGTATCTGGATTTTAGATTAAACCTATCTACATCCAAATAAATTAGTACCCAATGTAGGGATCCTAAGACTGAGAGCAAAGTCTGGTGTTGAGGCAGGGGACAGTCTGGCTTGGTGGCTCATGCTTTGTAAGCCAGCACTTTGGGAAGCTGAGGCAGGAGCATTGGGAGTTTGAGGTTGTGATGAGCTATGATTGCACCACTGTACTCCAGCCTGGGAAAAAGAGCAAGACTCTATCTCTAATTTAAAAAAAAAACAACAGTCTGATGTTGGAGCAAAATACCACTGTGGTTAGGAAGATGGACTCTGGAGTCAGACAGGTTCAAATCCCTTCTCTACTACTTGCCAGCTGTGAGATCTCATGTGAGTTATTTCTTTCTGCTCACATGTTAAATGAAGAAAACAAGAGTAGCAGCCTCATAAGGTTATTCTAATGATTCCATGAACTAATTCTGTAAAGTGCTCAGCATGATAGCTGGCACACAGAAAATGTTCCATAATTGATCATAATTAAAATGGTGACGAGGGTGTCCCTTAGGCAAGCACCAGGATAAAGTCCTCAAGCTGAACTAAGGGATTAAGGAGAAAAAAAAAGCAGGTTGCTTACTGTGACTTGCACTAGGGCCATCCTGCCCTGCTGTATACAGAAGAGCTACCCCACCCATCACAGGCTCCAAACAAATACAACCTACATTTTCACAAAGGTTTGGCATAGAAGACCCTCCGTGCATTCCTGAATTAAAACTAACTACATAAAACAACAACATTCATGAACTGAAGCAAAAAGCGTAAGTTAGGGGCTGTGTTTCATTGAGCTCTCTCTGACCTCAATTTTCTCACCTGCAAAATGAGGATAATAAGATGCCCATATCACAGGGTTTCACGAGGAGCAAACAAAATATTCCGTATATTGAAAACTGTCTAGGACAGTGCCTGACACATATTAGTTGATCAATCAATGTTGACTACTATTTAATATTGCACAATGAAAACATTCAAACAAATGATCAGCCCACAGGGGCTACACAAAATAACCTCAGCTGAAACGACATTGTTCATCACAGTTTTCAGATTCTTGAGCACTGAATTCCTTTCATATCCCTGCCACCAAACTTAGTATCACATTCTCTTTCCTAAAGTGTTTATAAAACACAGTGCCAGGTCTTATACTGAAAGGAGATTACTCAATAATGGAAGGACTAAAAGCAATGGAAGGGATTCTTCCACATTTTGATCTACCAGTATTTTTGGCACAGGCACTTATTTCTAATCCTACTTGTTTGTTTCAGCTTGAGCTAGGCATTGCGTTAGTATAATTCACTTGACCCTAAGCTGCTCATAACACCCTTCAAGGTAATCATCACTGACACTGAAAGAAGCCACTTGATATAGTTTGGATCTTTTGTCTCCTGCAAATCTCATGTTGAAATGTAACTCCCAATGTCGGAGGTGGGGCCTGGTGGGAGGTGTTTGGATCATGGGGGCGGATCCCTCATTAATGGCTTAGTGCCATCCCCTTGGGGATAGGTGAGTTCTTGTTCCCTTAGTTCACTTGAGAGCTGGTTGTTTGAAGGGAGCCTGGCACCTTCTCCTCTCTCTTGCTCAGCTCTTGCCATGTGATGCACCTGCTCCCCCTTTGCCTTCTGCTATGATTGTAAGCTTCCTGAGGCCCTCACCAGAAGCAGATGTCAGCACTATGCTTCCTACAGGATGTAGAACCAAGAACCATGAGCCGATTAAACCTCTTTTCTCTCTCTCTCTTTTTTTTTTTTTTTTTTTGGGATAGTCTCAATCTGTCACCCAGGCTTGGAGTGCAGTGGTACAATCACAGCTCACTGCAGGCTTGACCTCCCAGGCTTAAGCAATCCTCCCATCTCAGCCTCCTGAGTAGTTGGGACCATAGGAGCGTGCTGCCACACCTGGCTAATTGTTTTTTTTTTTTTCCAGACAGAGTTTCACTCTTATCCCCCAGGCTGGAGTGCAGTGGCGCCATCTCGGCTCACTGTAACCTCCACCTCCCGGGTTCTAGTGATTCTCCTGCCTCAGCCTCCCAAGTAGCTGAGATCACAGGCATGTGCCACCACACCTGGCTAATTTTGTATTTTTAGTAGAGATAGGGTTTCACCATGTTAGTCGGGGGTCTTGAACTCCTGACCTCAAGTGATCCACCCGCCTCGGCCTCCCAAAGTGCTGGGATTGCAGGTGTGAATCACTGTACCCAGCCAATTTTTGTATTTTTTGTAGAGACAGGGTTTCACCATGTTGCCCAGGCTGGTTTCAAATCCCTAGACTCAAATGACTTACCCGCCTTGACTCCCATAGTGCTGGGATTACAGGCATGAGCCATCACGCTCACCCTACACTTTTTCCCTTCATAAATTAC